GGTGGAGAATTTTTGGGGTTTTTTTTTTTTTGCAGTTTTTGGCCAGGGCTGGGTTTGAACCCACCACCTCTGGCATATGGGGCTGGCACCCTACTACTCCTTTCAACCACAGGCGCCACCCCAGGTGGAGAATTTTTGTGTGATGAAATTCCCTGCAAGTGAGCTAGGTACTGCCTTGAGGGTTTGGTAAAAGGCCTAGGAGTTTGGAACACTAGGGGGGCTTCTTCCCCTCTCTTAGCTCACTGCCCATAGCTGGGGCTGGAAGGGGGATGAGAGGGGACTGGACAGGAGTGAGAGGTGGCCATTGAAGTGATGGTTGGGGGGAAATAGGCAGTGTATGAGATGATGGGGTTTGCAAGGAGGCAAACCTGAGTTCAAATTGCAAATCCTCTGTGCAAGCTGGAACCAGTTCCTGGGCACCTCTGGGACTGCCTCGGTTTCCCACCTATAGAACAGACGCATCGGCTTGGTGCCTGTAGCTCAGCGGCTAGGGTGCCAGCCACATACACTGGAGCTGGCAGGTTCGAACCCGGCCCAGGCCTGCCAAACAACAATGACAACTACAACCAAAAAAAATGGCCAGGTGTTGTGGCGGGCACCTGTAGTTCCAGCTACTGGGGAGGCTGAGGCAAGAGAATTGCTTAAGCTCAAGAGTTTGAGGTTGCTGTGAGCTGTGACGCATACTGAAGGTGACGTAGTGAGATTCTGTCTCAAAAAAGAAAAAAAGAACGGATGCATCAGAGATTGTGAGATTTAAATAAGTTAATGCAACTGAAGTCCCTTGCTCCATTGCTTGTATGTGGCTGGTGCTTAAGAAATGCTAATAGTGGGAACCTGTCAAGTCTCTAAACCCTGTGGGTTTGTGTTCTTAACCCCTGGGCTACAAGGACCACCCCTTCTCTAAGTGCTCCCCAAGATCCCTGGGCCCTAACCTGAGAGCTGCCACCCTGTGTCCTAACGCTAAGGCTCTGCGTCCTACCTGGCTTTTCAAGGTCTGAATCTCTTTCCGCTTGGCCTCAAGGTCGTCGTCCAGAACCTGAAACTTCTCCCTCTCGCTCTGCCTGCTGGTCCCCGCCAGCTTCTGGCTCAGCTCGGCCACCTCGTTCTGCAGGTTGACTATCACGGCGTCTTTGTACTTGGATTCAATTTCAAAATCCGAGAGCCGGCTGACTTCTTTTCCTAGCAGCAGAATTATTTCATCCTGGGTCCAGATGAAAAAAGGTAGGAATATTATGGTGTAATCCTTCTGGGAAGGCAGAGGCAGGCAGGGAGAGAAATGGCAGACTTTGAAGCTGTCTCTGTCACTGGCTAAAATTATACACGCAGGCTCGGCGTCTGTAGCACAGGGGTTACGGCGCCAGCCACAGGCACCAAGGCTGGCGGGTTTGAACCTGGCCCAGGCCAGGTCAACAACAATGACAACTGCAACCAAAAAATAGCTGGGAGTTGTGGAGAGCACCTATAGTCCCAGCTACTTGGGAGGCGGAGGCAAGAGAATGGCTTGAGCCTAAGAGTTGGAGGTTGCTGTGAGCTGTGACTCCACGGCGCTGTACTGAGAGCAACATAGTGAGACTCTGTCTCAAACAAACAAACAAAAAAATTATACACTCCTATATCAGTTCCTATAATGGATGTTTATACCTCAAAGGTAGGGAAACTTTCCTCTCCCCTACAATCATACTTTCATATTGACAGCAGCTATCTCACTTGGTAAGTTTTGTTGCCAGAAAGTTTATTTATAACATCTTTCGGAATTAACTTACCAGGCCTCAGTCTAGCATCTGGGGACCTAGGAAAGGTAATTAGGAAAATGACATTCTATTCAACCACATTCTGATGATACATGTGGCTATTTAACTTTTAAAATTTAATAGATTCTGAAATATTCCTTTTCCCTTCCCTCTTTCCTGGTACTCCCTGCCTCTTTTGGTTATTCATACAAAAATTTACTCTGGATAACTGAGTCATGAAAAATAAATGAGAGGGGAATTATGATTTATGTGTACGGGCTCTTGTAAACTTCAGACTGGAAAACTCTTTGGCCCGGGAGACTTTTTCCTACAGGTATAATTAACCGAGTCCTCCCTCTCTTGAAAGAAAAAGCACTATAGCTGAAAAATTTGTTAGGTCATCCCTCCCAAAGTAAAAAAAAAAATCCCCCAATCTTTTCATGAAAAGTCATCAATAAAATATCAGGAAGGCTTGGCGCCTGTAGCTCAAGCGGCTTGGGCACCAGTCACATACACTGGAGCTGGTGAGTTCGAATCTGGCCCGGACCTGCCAAACAACAATGACAACTATAACCAAAAAATAGCCGGGCGTTGTGGCAGGTGTCTGTAGTCCCAGCTACTTGGGAGGCTGAGGCAAGAGAATCACTTAAGCCCAAGAGTTTGAAGTTGCTGTGAGCTGTGACGCCATGGCACTCTACCCAGGGCAACATAGTGAGACTCTGTCTCAAAAAAAAAAAAAAATCAGAAAGAGTGAAAACAAAACTTCCCCAGATGTGTTTTCATATGCAGCTACAAGAATTTCTATCCATTACTTACAGAGGAAACCAAGACCTTCTAGCAAATTCTCACGGGCTGGAAGGAGGTAGTTTCTGGGTCAGCTCTTTGCCTGGGGAGTCCCGCTCCAGGCTCCTGAGCCTGGGAACAACAGGGTTTTGATCACGAGGGAGCCCGTGAGGCATTGCCAAGTGCTGCCAAGGGTCTGTCTTTGGATTACTGCCAGAGCTTATAGCAAAATTTCAAGGGAGAGTCTACGCTCCTGGGCAGCCCTGTTGCTTTACCCAGTTTGAGTCACTCAAAGTTTCTGTGTTCAGCCAGGTGCTGATTCAGAATTTGTGCTTCTTTTTAAATAGGAAACTTTAGACTTATAGGCTTGGGTTTGTCTAAGGTCAAGTTTTTGGAGACCTGCCAAAGAAACTCAAACTGTGAAGGAAACAGTAGAGAAATCCGTGGTGGGGAATGTTTTGATGACATCACTCAAGCTCCTGGATCCAGCCAGACCTGAAGCTAGTAGGGCTTTAAATATTTAAGAATATAAGTCAATAGATGCCTCTCCCTCTCCCCAAATGAATTTTTTTTATTGCCACATGCACTGGAAGGAGCCCTGGCAAGTCAGGGCATAAAGAGTTCATAAAGAGAAAAAATTATAAATGTGGTTACATGCTATTTCCAGTTTAGCAACTGTGGTGGATTAAAAAATGGCTATGAATACTTTGCAGCTTCTGCCATCAAGCAGTGGAATCTGTTTCCTCCATCCCCTAAATCTAGGCTGGCCCTATGACTTGCTTTGGCCAATAGAAAGTGGTGGAAGTGACACTGAGTGACTCCAAGCAAATTCTTAAGTGCCTGAAGAGCCTCTGTCCTGGCCCTCTGGGAACCTGGGATGGTTGTGCTGCTATGAAGAAGCCCAGGACAAAAAATCCACATACAAAGAGGGGCTCACCATTGCAGGTATCCCAGCTGAGGTCCCAGACATGAGAATGAGGCCTTCTGAGACCACCAGCCCCTGCCAAACTGAGTCAATCTATAGAATTGTGGGAGACGATAAATTGGCATTTTAAGGCAGTACATTTGGGGCTGGCTTGTTGCACAGCAGCGGATAACAGACAGAGCCTCCAAGTCTGGCTTCTCATCTTACGGCAACATTGCCCAAGGTCTGGCCTCAGGACACCTGCATCAGAAGCACCGCTAACCTGAAGCTGCAAACTCCCAGGCATTGTCACTCCCGGGGTGTAACAAGAAGCCCAGGGGGTTTTGCTCCTTGCAGGCTCTGAGAATTGCTGCAGGCTCACGCCTTGATCCTCAAGGGCAGCAGGAGGTTGTCAGACTGTTTCAGGGTAATTTCTAGGTTGTGGCTAAGTGGGGAGGAATCCACCTGGCTCCAACCTTCCCAGGTTCACTTAAAGTCACCTGTCCTGACTGTAACCTGGCTCCTGTCTCCCTCTCTCACCCTCCCTGGTTCTTTAACAAGTCTCCTGTTTCCTGTTTGCTCAGTTGCCCTTGACCTCAGCTCTCATTTCCTCCTGCTAGAGAACAGGTTTTCCCCACCACTGTTCCATCATCAGCTTAGGAGTTAACCAGACCTGGGTTGGAATCTCGATTCTGCCCCCCTGTGCTGTGCAATCTTGGGCAAGTTACTTAACCTTTCTGAGCTTTGGTTTCCTCATCAGGCAATAAAATCTAACTTGAAGACGCTGAAGAATAAATGAGCTAATGGATGTCCAGCGCAAAGGACACAGTCTGGCACACAGCAGGTGCTCAATGAACCGTGGTGGCGGATATTTTTGTTGTTACTCGAGATAAAACTTTTGGTGGAATGCAGTGGGGGTAAGAAGTGGTTTCTTGGAAGCCGGGAAAGAGGGCCCTTCCAGGCCACAGGGAAAAAGAGGCGTCAGCAACTGCCCAGCTGTAGCTCTGCCGTCCCCACCCTGACACCCCTCACCTTGTCCTGCTGGGCCAGGTCCTGCTCCACATAAAGCTCCGTGGGAGGTACTGCTCCAGGAAGCTCCTCAGTCACTGACGGGTTCGGCAGTTCCGCAGCACTGGTCCACACTAAGGCAGAAGGTCACCAGAGAGCACAAAGGACATTGAGTTTGCCTATGGCCCCCAAGAATAGTTTCAGATTAGCATCCATGTCTGTTTCTTCCTGAGACTGACATTTTATGTAATTTAAAAATTACAAAGTGGTTCATATGTTCATTGAAAAGCCCTGGAAGCATCACAGACGTGCTAGAAAGGGAGAGAGTCACCCCATTCCTCTCCTTCTGAGCTGACCGTGCTGTCGTCCATGCTGACGTGCCTCTTCCCAGACCTTTTTTCCTAACTTGCAGAAGGCCTTGTGACCTTGGGAGGGTCATTTATCTCCCCTGAGTCTCAGTTTCCACATAGACAGTTCAAAGACATCTCTGTTCTAAAGGGCTGTCGTCAAGAGTAATGAGGCATGAAGCAGCAAACTACAGCCCTGGGGCCGAATTGGAGCCATTGCCTGTTTTTGAAAATAAAGTTTTATTGGAACGCAGCCACAGTTATTCACTTACGTATCTTCTATAGCTGCTTCTGTTGAGGCTGAGTTGAATAGCTGTAATGCAGACTATATGGCCCCCAAAGCCCCAAATATTTACTATCTGGCTCTGTGATACTGTGATTTATAATAAGAAATAAATACCTTTGGCCTTCTGTATCTGTGGGTTATACATTTGTGGATTCAACCGACAATGGTTAAAAATATTTGGAAAAAAAATACAAATAAATAACCAACACAGTATAACAGCTATGTAGATAGCATTTACATTGTCTTTTCTGAATGAGGGATCTGAGGCCCAGAGATGTCAAGTACTCACTCAAAGTCACACAGCTGTTAAGTGGTAGACTCAAGACTCTAACCCAGGTTTGTTAGATTCAGAGTCTGCGCTCTTAACCATTATGCAATAAATGTGCTGACCTTCACGATATGTTGTTGAATTTTGAAAAGCAGGTTACCATGTTAGGTTCAAATGATCCCACTATTATCCTATTATTTACAATATATATGTGTATATTAGAAGGATATGATTTAAAAATCACCCCGTGTACTTTGCATTCTCGGTAATTCTTTCTCCCTGGCTTTTATGAGCTTTGCCATTAAGAGTCACCTCTGGCTCGGCGCCTATAGCTCAACTGGCTAGGGTGCCAGCCACATACACCTAAGGTGGCGGGTTCGAATCCCCAGCCCGGACCCGCCAAACAACAATGACGGCTGCAACCAAAAAATAGCCGGGCGTTGTGGCGGGCGCCTGTGGTCCCAGCTACTTGGGAGGCGGAGGCAGGAGACTCGCTTGAGCCCAGGAGTTGGAGGTTGCTGTGAGCTGTAATGCCATGGCACTCTACCCAGGGGGACAGCTTGAGGCTCTGTCTCAAAAAAAAAAAAAAAAAAAAAAAAAGAGTCACCTCTGGAGCTGAGGCTTTGTTGCTTGTTGCTGGAGAAGGATGAACACCGCTCAGAACAGGAGTCCTTGACCCGGGATGATTCTGCCCCTCTGGGGACATCTGGCAGTGTCTGGGACAGTTCTGAGTGTCACGATTTGAGGGGAAGGGAGGATTGCTCTTGACATCTAGTGGGTAAAATCCAGGGATGTTGCTACACACTCAAAAATGCACAGGACAGACCCCCGACAAAGGATCATCAGGACCCCAGTGTCCGTGGTACCAAGATTGAGAAGCCAAGTCAGTCTTTGGCTTTGGGTTTCCGGACAGAATTTTTCAAATCTAAAGGAAGACAATGGCTTAAAAGCAAAAGCAGTTTCATTTGAAGAGATCAGCTTTGCTGAGATAGGCAAAAGTTTTCTCAGAACCCTCAAAAATGAGTTTTTTTCCATTAAGAGGCAGCCTGGAAGACTAGACAAAAAAGTTACTCCAAAACGTGGAGCAGAGAGGCCCAGACCTGGCACAAGGGAACTTCCCACCATGGGAAGATGGAAGTGCTTCTCGGACTCTGGGGAATGAAGGTGGAAGTTTGGGAACAGACATCATGGCGCCTTCCCAACCAAGATGAGGTCCCGGTGGGGAGAGGTGGCGGGGAAGCCCAAGTAGATTTGAGGGCCTCAAAGCGATAGGATTTCCCTTGACTTCCCAAGGACAATGTCCACCTCTTAGAGAAATCTCAAGTTCAGCACGGCCATGGAGAAACAGGTAGAGAAACCCACTGACCAGTGGCTGAGTAACAGAGGCAGCTCATCTGTCCACCAAGGAAAGCATGGATTGGTTTTTTAGAGACAAGTTTCACTTTGTCGCCCTGGGTAGAGTGCTGTGGCGTAACAGCTCACAGCAACCTCAAACTCTTGGGCTTAAGTGATTCTTTTGCCTCAGCCTCCCAAATAGCTGGGACTACAGGTGCCCGCCACAACGCCCGGCCATTTTTTTTGTTGCAGTTGTCATTGTATAGCAGGCCCAGGCTGGGTTTGAACCCACCGCCTTGGTGTATGTGGCTGGCACCCTAATCACTGAGCAACAAGTGCTGAGCTGGAAAGCATGGATTTTTTAAAAAGTTCAATGATGTGGGGCGGCACCTGTGGCTCAAAGGAGTAGGGGCGCCGGCCCCATATGCTGGAGGTGGCGGGTTCAAACCCAGCTCCGGCCAAAAACTGCAAAAAAAAAAAAATCCAGTGATGTGTTTATAGAATATTATTCGATGATAAAAAGGGACAGACTTGGTGATATGTACAAAAAAATGGATGAATCTAAGGAATATTATGCTGAGTGAAAAAAAGCCCTACACAAAAGAACATATACTAGACGATCTCATTTATTTGAAATTCTAGAATAGGATTCTCTAGTCCACAATGGAAAAAGAACTCAGAAGAGTGGTCGCCTCTGGGGGATGGGATCGGGAACTCGCTGGGAAGGGGCATGAGAACCCTTTTTGGGGAGATGGTAACGTACCATATATCTTGATCGGGGCTGGGTTATCCATGGGCCACTGTGAAAGTTTTGAGACAGACTGTGTTACGGTCCATTGTTTCACTTCCAAGATGCACAGTGGACAGCGTCCTTTCGGGTCCATCCTTGCAAGTTCCAGTTATGACTGGTGTTGCAGGGAGGGTTTCATCTGTTGCTGTCCGTGTGGATTTTCTTGATTTTTGTCTATCTCGAAACTTTTGGAATGTCCTGTATTAAGTGTATACGATTGTAAAAACTCAGTGAGCGTCCACTCAAGATGTGTGCCTTTCCCTGCATCCCCACGCAGGCCCCCTCGATTCTTGTTCCCTCTTCGATATTGGGCGGACTACTGTTACTGTGCTCAGGCTGCCACCACGAAACGGAGTGGGTGACTTAATGAGAGCAGGTTAGTTCTGCACAGTTCTCCAGGCCGTGTCAGCAGGGCTGGTTTCTCCTGAGGCCACTCTCTCCCCGGCTCGCAGATGGCCACCTTCTGGCTGTGTTCTCATGCGGCCTTTCCTCTGTGGACGTGCCTTCCTGGGGCATCCTAATCTCCTCTTTTAAGGACAAGTGTCAGATTGGATTAGAGTCCACCCTAACAGCCTCCTTTTAATTTAATTACCTCTTTAAAGGCTTTAACTCCCAATCTAGCTACATTCTCTGGTACTGGGGGTTAGGGCCTCCACACATAAATCTTGAGAGGACACAGTTCAGCAGAGCTTGTCTATGTAATCAAGGGTATTACGGAAATGTTGGAGTTTGTCTCCTGAGGTTGGATCATAAGAGACATTGCAGTTTCTGCTTCACCCTCTAGGCCCACTCTTTTGTAGACAGCTGGTAGCCATCTCATGAGGAGACTTAAGCAGCCAATGGAGAGGTTCCCGTGGTGAGGAACGGAAGCTTCCTACTAACAGCTAGTAAGTAACTGAGGCCTCCAACTACAAGCCACGTGAGCGATCCATCTTGGAAATAGGTCCTCCAGCCCCAGACAAGCCTTCAGATGACCAAAGCCCTGGTGACAGCTTGACAGCAACCTCCTGACAGACTCCAGAATCCCCCAGCTGAGCCACTCCCAAGTGTCTGACCAGAGAGACTATGTAAGTTGAAACATATTAGCTTGGCACCCGTAGCACAGTGGTTACGGCACCAGCCATATATACCGAGGCTGGCGGGTTTGAACCTGGTCTGGGCCAGTTAAACAAGGACAACAGCAACAAAAGAATAGCCAGGCACTGTGTCAGGCGCCTGTAGTCCCAGCTATTTGGGAGGCTGAGGCAAGAGAATCTCTTAAGCCCAAGAGTTTGAGTTGCTGTGAGCTGTGACGCCACGGCACTCTACCCAGGGTAACATAGTGAGACTGTCTCAAAAAAAAAAAAGATGAAACATGTTTATTGTTGATTTATATCCTTAAGACCTGTGTTAGTTGGGTGTGTGAAGGACAGATAACTTGTGTCTGTAGTTCACAATTCTTTACACTGATAGCAACTATACTCAAGGAACTAAACTTTAGGAGCCATACCCAACGAGCCCTTTCTGGACCTGGACCTAATTTAGATGATGAGATTCTAGACTTCGAGCTAATGGTGTATTGGAATGAGACTTTGTGGGGGCCTCAGGATGGAGTGAGCGTATTTTACATGTGAGAAGGGGATGAATTGTTGACCAGAGCGGACTGTGGTAGGCAGCCTCCAAGGTGACTGCTAAGAATTCCTGCCTCCTGGTGTCTAGCCCTATGCAGAAGCCTCTTCTGCCCTGGAAAGGCTGACCTGTACAACCAGAAGGGTACTACTGAAAAGACAGAGAGTGACTTCAAAGGCTTGGTCAGTAGAGACGCTGCAGTTTCCATATGGCTGTCTTGGATCCCTTGCCCTGGAGGGCCCAGCTGTCCCTGCTGAGGACACCTGAGCAGCTCTGTGGAGAGGTCCTCGTGGTGAAGAACTGAGGCCTCCTGCCCACAGCCGTGGGATTGCACCATCTCAGAAGCAGATTCTCCAGCCCCAGAGCCTTCCCGTGAGTGTGGCCCTGGCTGACCTCTGGACAGCAACCTCATGAAAGACCCTGAGCCACAGCCATCAGCTAAGCTTCTCCCCAATTCCTGACCCACAGAAACTGTATCGGATAACACGCAGAGTTGTTGTTTATTTCAGACTGCTAAATTTTAGAGTAATTTGTTATGAGATTGATGACGAATACACATTGCATGTTAATTTTACCAAAATGCACATGAACTGTTGTGTTCCAGTTATTGCATCAAAACGTAAGATGGATTAATGGATGAAGGATGGATGGACAGATAGAAGAGTATGGCAAAATGCATGGTAGAATTGGGGGGGTCACTGTAAAATTCTTTTTATTATAATTTGCTGTAGGTCTGCAAATCTTCACATTAAAATGTTGGAGGGAAATGGCTGAGCAATTTCTTAATGTGGGCAGTAAGTACACAGGCATTCGTTTGCTGCTGCTGCTGCTGATACTGATACATCCCATTTACTCTTTACTTTGTATGCGTGACAATAGCAATTATTCTTTTAGTGACGGAGGAAGGTGATTAGGTGAATGGTCTTGAGCAAGAGTGGGGGAGGATGTGGAGCCACTGAGAAAGTTGGAGGCTCAGAAAAGGCTGGGACAGAAGGGACAGAGAATGGGACCTTGACATCGTGGAGACACCTTGGGAATCGTGCCCAGGAGACTGAGCTGACCAGCTACTCTGATTGTGAAGCTGCTGAGGCCGAGAGGACGGTAACAGATGGACACTTCCTTCGCAAATGCCGTGTGGCTTTCAAGGGACAAGTAAGGCTATGCCTGGACCAGAGTGAGCAGGCTATGAGCGGGCAGTCACTGAGATAACCAGCCTTCAGTGCCATGGAAAAGCACTGGATTGGTCTAGTTTGAATGTATCTTCTCTGGGGAAGTAATTGTCCTTGATACGCCTCTGTCTCCTTTCACGTGGAATTGGTACAAACCTCCTAGGGACGTTAGGAGCACAAGGGGATTTCAGTGACCAGTATTTCTGCACATCTGAGTCCAAGTGTGTTGATGTAGTTGCTGCTACACACTCATACCTCTGCACACACACACTGGGGCACCCCCCCCTCCAGGGGTGCGGATCTGAGTTTCCAGGCACAGCCCAAAGTCTAGCAGCGGTTCTCAACCTGTGGGCTGAGACCCCTTTGTTCCATTTCTAACGACGCAGCAGTTAGGGAGGTTGGGAACCACCGGGAGGGACACGCACCAGCAGCTCGAGAGGACACCCAGACAATAAGGATGGCAGCTGTTTTTTAACTGTTTTCTTGCTTTCTGTTTATCCTGAATTTTAAAAAGCAATGGACTATGTTTTACTTTTACAATGAGAGAAAATAAGCAAAAACAAGACCCCTCTTCACAGCCAGAAAGACGCCCCATACGCCACCAAAGGGAGCACGGACAGACACGTACCTTGCTTGATGGGGGACTGGTGGGTGGTGTCCACCGTGAAGGAGAACATCTTCCCGCCGGTGCTCATAGGCCGCCTGTGAGGGGGAGCCGGGGCCAGGGTGGGCCTGGGGAAGCCCTGGGACCAGCTCCTCTGCATGGCAGGTGCTGACTGGATGCCCTGGCAGAAGGGAACATGTGGTGGTGGCGAGGGGTTCGGTGCCGGCTCCTGTGTGGCCTGGGGCGTCTGTGGCCTTGGCCATGGTGCTGGGCTTCTTATCCACAGGAAGGGGACCTGCAGTGGCACACAAAGGGTCAGGGGAAGTTGTGAGCTGCTGACGCGGCCTCCACGCCTTTGCCCCAGTCACACAATTGCTGCCCGAGGTCTCGGCTTAGGAATCACTTCCCCCCGGGAGGCCTTCCTGGACTCTCTCAAGTTTGGGATGGTGGGCCCTGCCAGGGGTCATGTAGCGCACGTCATGACGCTACCATTTACTGGGTGTGTCCTTTACTCAGGCACCTTGCCCAGTGATTCACATGTATGAACGAATAATTAATCCTTTAATACGCCCTACACTCTGTGATGACAGGTTGGGCAAGACCAAGTGATTTTTCCCCAAGGCCATAGAGGCAGTCTTGAGCTGCTGAGCTGGGAGAATGTCCCTTGAGGGATTAGGGACTTTTCATCTCTCCTGCTGACCACTGTATCCTCAGCACCCAGAATAAAGGCCTGGCACACATGTAGCAGTCCTCAAATACTGGTTGAAAGAAAGAATGGGCCAATCATCTGGGACCCCATAGCCTGTCCTCTTTCTGTCCACACCGTGGTCTCTCCATCTGACTCTCAATACTAAGAGCTCTGGGGTGGCAGGGATCCCACTGTCTTGTTAGCCTTTGTCTTAGCCTCAACATTGTCACACCTGATTCCGACAGAGGCTCCATAAATCTATCAAGGGAAACACTTAATGCTTCGACCCTGGGGAAGATGTTTGTAGCTATTTTCAGTGGAGAGCACATCAAAATCCTCCTAGCCAGGGAGGAGGATGTGTGAAGAGGAGCTGACCCCCGGCTTAATGCTTCCAGGTGCCCAGTGATGACCCCATGAGTGCCATCACTTGGTAGACTGACTCCTTGCTTCCTCACCGTCACCTTCGGGGGAACACTTCCTACTCCTGTGTTAAAAATGAGGCTTGTAGAGGTGAAGAAATTTAATTCGGGTAATCTCCCTCCTCCCAGCTTATTATTGTGGGCAGGATTAGGCAATCAGCCAATTACATTCCCTGGTCACAGTGATTGGTTCAGGGGTGGGGCATGTGATCCAATCAGAACCAAGGAGACCTGGGGGACACCAGCATCCCCAAGCACAGGTAGTGGTAGAGACAGAATGTGGATCAAGATCTGGGATAGCCTCTCTCTCTGTTCTCTCTCTCTCTTCCCCCAGTTCTCCCTGCTCTCCCTCCCAATTCTCTTCACAAAAATAACACTTTCCAAGTAAGAGCTAAGTGGGCTGCGATGCAGGGCCATGCGTCTGTTTTCCCAGGGCTCAAGTTTCTCCTTCTGTTTCCTAGAGAGAATCTGAGGTCAGACACTCATGATGAAGGACGAGAAAGAACAGGTCCAAAAGAAGAGCCGTGGCAGACAGACATTCTATAACTTTGACTGGGTTGAATTCAGGAGGAAGGTTCTCCACTCACTCAGGACCCTGAGGCAATCTTTCAGCTACAGTCTTTCTACAGAAGGCCAGAGGTTCTGTGCTTTCTCCCACCAAGTTTCTTTCATGGAGTCAGTGAGATGTTCCAGGGAACTGATCACCTGGGGACACCTGGCCCAGCATTCATCATAACATGAGCCCATTTTATTTATTATTATTTTAAGTCTCACTATGTCACCCTTGGTGGAGTGCCGTGGCATCACAGCTCATAGCAACCTCAAACTCCTGAGCTTAAGCAATTCTCTTGCCTCCACCTCCCAAGTAGCTGGGACTACAGGCACCCACCACAATGCCCGGCTATTTTTTGGTTGCAGTTGTCATTGTTGTTTAGCAACCCCTGGAAGGGCTTGAACCGGCCAGCTTCAGTGTATGTGGCTGGTGCTCTATTCACTGAGCCACGGGCACCAAGCTGACTAGCTCGTTTTAAATCTGGGTTCAGGAGTGGGATTGGGCATGTTCTAGAACCCTGTTACCTTACATGTAGTTCTGAATTTCTGTCCACTGTTACATCTTGGCCCCTCCACCTAGCCTGTCCACCATTCCTTAGTCTCAGAAGCTGAGGTGTGTGCTCCTGCCCTGTGCTGCCTTCTCCATCCACTCCCATCCTTCTTATGCTCCATGGCTGTCTTGCCTCAATCATTCCGATGATATTTCTTTTGGTTTAATAACTACTTATTGAATGAATGGGTTGAAGGTAAGAGGAGGTAAATTCAAATGCCCAGCCTTCTATAACACAAATCTAGAGATTATCCCACTTTCACGCTGGAATACTTGGGGATGGGGAGGCTCTTAAGGAACGGTGCCTCACTGCCAACTAACTGCAAGGGTGCTCAAGCCTCATACCTCAAGGGCCCCAAGTCTATGGTAGACAGGCCAGAACCCATTCCACATCCTCTGGTGCAGGCGTCCTTAAACTACGGCCTGTGGGCCACATGTGACCTGCCTAGGACATTTATCTGGCCTGCCAGGTGTTTTTGCTGCCGCTGCCTGTCCTGCTTAGCAGCCGACTCGTCCTGGGGTCCGCAGTCCGGCTCTCCAATGGTCTGAGGGACAGTGAACTGGCCCAGTTTAAACAGTTTGAGGACACCTGCTCTGCTCTGAATCTCCCTCCTTCCAGCTTATTATTGTGGGTGAGATTAGGCAATCGGCCAATTACATTCCCTGGTCACAGTGATTGGTTCAGGGGTGGGGCATGTGATCAACCACAGTGATTGGTTCAGGGGTGGGGCATGTGATCCAATCAGAACCAAGGAGATCTGTTGGACACCAGCATCTCTAGCCTTAGGAGATGTGGGAGCTTGATGTATGGCATTAAGGATATGGAGCCCAGGAAAGGAGAGAGGGAAGGTGGCTTTTGTTTTGCATTTTTAATATAAAAAACAGGTAACATAAAATGTACCTTCTTAACCACTTTTAAGTGTAGAGTTCAGTAATAAGCATATTCAAATGGTCGTAGCATGAGTCAGACAGAATTCCCTTCTTTTTAAAGGCTGAATAATAGTATTCTATTGTATGGACAGACCACATTTTCTTTATCAATTCACCTTTTGATGGACCCTTTCAACAGATGAGTGATGGGCACTTCCACCTCTTGGTTACTGTGAATAATATGCAAATAGAGAAGCCATTCTGAGTCCTGGCTTGGGTCATGCCCTAAACTTCTCCGCACTGTGAGGCTGCTGAGAGCTGGTTTCTGTCACTTACAGCCCTCACAGCCCTAATGACAGAATCTCTACAGGGGACCACGTATGACGCATAAATGCAGCAAAGACTGCAATCCGCTCTTTGTTTTCATCTTTTGTTAAAGCTTGCTGATTGAGGGTGGCTTTAGATGAAAGGTTAAAGTTGGTCTTCTCTACTGAGCAGGTCTGCTCTGTCATAAGGTCAAGGTTTCCCAGCAATTCCTGCTGCTAACTACAAGGAAACAGGTGGCAGGGATGGGGGAGGGAGGTGACACTAAACCTAAGGAAACAACTCGTATTAAAGATAACTCCTGGCTGTGCTTGAAGCTGGGAGTCAAGGTCAATTATGAACAGAGTCTGAACTTAAGTTTAAAAAGCTTTGTTAATGGTCTTTCTCTGATCCTATATAGCCTGGTGGCTGCCTGTTTTGGTTTTTAGGCAGCATATGGTATTCCTGATTTTTACAACACTACCTCTAAAATAGCCGGTTGTCAACTGCCTTGACACACCCACTGCTGAATTGCTATCAGCTTGAACAAACACTAGTCAATGATTTACTCAAGAAATCACATTCCATTTTTTCCAAATCACCTGCCTGTTCTCTGTGTTATCACACCAGCATTTGCTTCTAACCTTATCAAGACGGCAGGATGAGGGGCACACCCTAAAACACCAAGGCAATTTGCGCAGAGTCCTACAGGACCCCGCATCCTGCCAGGAAGGCCTGGAGGCCGTGGATAAGGCGGGCCTTGCCCTTAAAGAGAGCGTCACATGCTCTGGCATTTGCCGTCATTGTCACTGCTGCTTCTGTGAACCACCGTGGAGAGAAGGCACGGGGGTCCCAGGCTGTGCTGTGCCCTTGTGTTCTCATCTGTCAGAATAACTCTGGGGGATGGGGAGGCATCTGAAGTCTTATTTTGCGGGTTAGGAAAAGGAAGGTCAGGAAGGTGAAGTGACTCGCCCAAGGTCCTACAGCCTGCAAGTGGTGGGGCTGTTCGACTCCAAACCTGTGCTCCTAGAGCCTCCAGGTCATTTGAAGCCATGGTTTAGATCTGCTTTCCATACTCACAAAAGGCTCCCAGACCACTGGTTAGTGACGAGGAGGAGCTTTTCTGAGTTAAAAACGAAAATAAGAAATAGCTGGTATGAAGAACCACGAGGCGCCGCCTGTGCCGCTTGTGAATAGGATTTTCTAGATAAGCTGCCAACTCCCTCACGGGAGCGTGATTCACAGAACACGTGTGACACCCCGGAAGCTTCCCAGAGAGCCACAGCCTCCACCCAGGCAGGGTCTGTGCCTATTCACTGCTGTACCAGCGGACAGCTGGGGCTTGTTTGTGCTGGCTCAGAGAGCTGGTTAGTAAATGTTCAGACAGAACAATTTTGTGAGCCGGCTGATAAACATGGAAATTAATAAAAATTTAAAAATATACACCTAACAGGGTGGCGCCTGTGGCTCAAAAGAGTAAGGCTCTGGCCCTATATGCTGGAGGCGGCAGGTTCAAACCCAGCCCCGGCCAAAAGCTGCAAAAAAAAAAAAATAAAAAAATATATATATACCTAACAATGAAATTACATCAGCAACAACAGTAATACATACTTAAAACTCATCCCTTCCTAATTATTTTGCTATATTTGATTATTATCTATGCTATTATGTGCCCCTACTGAACCGTGTATTCGCAACCTTGCAGAACAATACTACTGCCTGCCTCCTCCCAACTCTGGTGATGTCACATCGTAGCTTGGAATTGGCCAACATGGGCGTACTCACACCCACTACCTGAGTCTCAGGAAATGCTATAAGAAGTCAAGATTTGTGATGTGTAGAGAGGCTATAAATCAGGGCTTGAGTTTTTTATTTTGTTGGCTGTCTACACTTAAGAAGGTGATGGAGGGCCT